GTAATTTTATTTGGTAATTGTAAATGTTTCTTGGAAACAGAAGTCTTCTATCAACAGCTTACAGGCATTTTACTACGGCCCCCCCTAAGTGAGACTGAATGCTGAGACTTTCATAAGCTATGCCATCACAGCTCGGTGGTGCTGGGGGCTGCGATCTTTTGACAGAGTGTTTATTCACCATGCTCTGCACTAACAGCTTACTACTTGAAACATGCTGTTGACTTCAGGCCAGTATCTAGCCGTTGAGGCTCTGGTTTGTTTCACATAGATCCAAGGCATCATGCTGTCCCAAATTCTTTCATCATCAAGCAACTAGATTATATCCACAGGTTGTTTTGTCCTTGATTTAGAGAAAGAGAAAGAAAGGGTTGGTGTGGAACATATTTTTAGAAGATTAAAACAACCCTGCTTTCCAGTGTGGATGCTCTAAAAATGAAAGAATTTCCTTCTTTTTATAATGACATTATCTGCTTATTTTAGAAAAATTAGAACATCAAAGAAAGGTCTGAAGAAGAGCAAAAATTCTGTCAGATACCACTGACCACTTTACTGTGAAAACCCTCAGAAGTGTTTTGTAAAACATCTTCCTAGACCCTGTTCTCTGAGTGTATGTATGTGCCATAAATAGTATTCTGTTAGATAATGCTTTGCATTGTGCTTTTGACACTCAAAATACGTTATGGAGGCTTTTCCATATCAAAGAAAAAGTATTTATGTAATAGTCACTAGAGTTTAGTTAACTGGGTTTATGTCTATCAGTGGACATTTGTGAGTTTTCCTTTTTAAAAAAAGTGTGCAAAAATTGTCATCAGTTCAGTTCAGTCACTCAGCCATGTCCAACTCTTTGTGACCCCATGAATCGCAGCACACCAGGCCTCCGTGTCCATCACCAACCTGGAGCCCACCCAAACTCATGTCCATTGAGTCGGTGATGCCATCCCACCATCTCATCCTCTGTTGTCCCCTCCTCCTCCTGCCCTCAATCTTTCCCAGCATCAGGGTCTTTTCCAATGAGTCAGCTCTTCACATCAGGTGGCCAAAGTATTGGAGTTTCAACTTCAACATCACTCCTTCCAATGAACACCCAGGACTGATCTCCCTCAGGATGGACTTGTTGGATCTCCTTGCAGTCCAAAGGACTCTCAAGAGTCTTCTCCAACACCACAGTTCAAAAGCATCAATTCTT